TCTAATACCAATTGTTATATCTCTTAATGAAATCAATAAAAATATTTAGGGTTTTTAGAAAGTAGAGATAATAGATATACGAATAAGAATGTTTCATTAATATTTTTCTAGAATACCTTTTTCATTACACCTCATATTTCTTATATTCTTAGTTCCAAACTCCAACTGAATTTTATTTTGTGCAGTTAATTTCCCTTACTAATTGTTGCTCATTTGTCATTTTCAAGTATTGAGTCATTCAACATTAGGCCCAATTTTTATCTTGTAGTCATCCCGTGTTGACTCCATCCTTCCTGATGGGGCTTTGTTGTTCTACCAGAATACCTTATCAAATTGCCTTGGACCCTTTTGTAGCATTAGTCCACCTTGTTTTGCTCAAATTAAATTTTCCACTTTCCCAATCAGTTCGAGAAATCCCTAAATTCTCATCTTCAATCCCTAGATTTTTGCCCTTTCCTCCACGTTCATAACAGGGTTTAAAATTAGTGTTTGTGTTAGGAGAAACTGGGTTAGGAGGGTCGTCCTCATAATGGATCTCTGCAAAATCTTATCTGAATTTGTCGGTCAACAGATAAGATACCAATGATTAATTCAATTTTTTAATAATTTGATATACACGTTTTCTAAAGGATATATATATTACTTTTAGGTAAACTATACATTTAGTACCTAAATTATTATTTTTATTCTATTTTAATATCTAAAGTTTATCTTTTTCAAAGTCATACCTAACGATTAGTTTAGGTTTTAATTTGACTCCCTACCGTTAAAAATAATAGAAACTACTCATGTGGCATTTTCTAAATTTTTTTAATGATAATGTGGTATTACCATATGTTGACATGACAACATCACCATTAAGTTTTTAATGATAGGTAACAAATTGAAACATAAATTAAACATTATGTATGATTTTGAAAAAGAATAGAGGTTGGACATTAAAATGAATCAAAAGTAATACTTTAGATACTAAATGTATAATTTACTCTTTATTTTTTTAAAATATTTCTGGTGAGCCCATGGCCTCTACTAGTCTTTACTTTATTCGGCCGTTGAATTCAAACAACTCAACTAGATTCGAATAAAAAATTTCAAATAAAATCTAAGTTATAAAATTATACACGTCAATACGGTAATTTTTTTTAATTCATCTCGTCAATACAATTAACTTTTTAATTTAACTCGATAAAATTTGACTCAATTGATTGTTTACCTCTACTTATAAACGCATATAATTTAATATGTGCGGTAAAAATGCCCATATAGGGTACTGATTTTTTTTCTTAATGTTATCATTAATTTTTTTATTCTCTCAACTAGAACGGAATCTATAATATATCTTAAAATGATTAAATAACATGACATTTTTTTCAAGAGATGATAAAATAATACAACATATTTTTTTCATTTTAATCAGTGTGAAATACGTCCTATAATTTTAACACATTCTCTAAAAATATTCAATAATCTACTAATTTAGATATCTTCCCTATTGTACTGTAAAAAATATACTTCAAAAAATATAATGGCAAAAAGGCACGCCATGTACCTTAACTTAAAAAAGTTCAATGTGTCATTCATCCTATTTTTTAAAGAGAAAATAACCTCAGTAACCAAAAATGCCTTATAATATACGATTTTGACCAACTTTTTTTGGATTTGCCAAAATGACCAACTAAATCGCAATGCGATCGATAATTCGCAACGCGATCTCCGGTATCGCAAATCAGTTTCCAGATTCGCAACGCGAACATCGACTATCGCAACGCGAACTTCGACTATCGCAATGCGATTTTCCAAATTCGTTGCGATAGTCTAAGTTCGCGTTGCGATTTATTCCAAATTCGTTGCGATAGTCGAAGTTCGCGTTGTGATAGTCCAAGTTCGTTGCGATAGTCGAAGTTCGCGTTGCGATTTATTCCAAGTTCGTTGCGATAGTCGAAGTTCGCGTTGCGATTTATTCCAAATTCGTTGCGATAGTCCAAGTTCGCATTGCGATAGTCCAAGTTCGTTGCGATAGTCGAAGTTCGCGTTGCGATTTATTCCAAGTTCGTTGCGATAGTCAAAGTTCGCGTTGCGATTTATTCCAAATTCGTTGCGATAGTCCAAAATCGCAACGACTGGTGGTATTGCATTTGTTTCTTAAGAATTTTCTCTAAAAAGATAGTATTCGCGCGGACGTGTCAAAGACACGTATTACCACGACCACGACCCGAGACAGACGACGGCGGCGGTGCGCGAGAGTCCCCCTTGTTCTCTATCACTCAACAAGGAAGTGGGAAAGCCAAGCCTTAAATACCATTCCCAATAGTGTTTCCAATACTATGTGGGATTGAGCATTACCAACACTTGTTCCCAATACTATGTAGGATTGAGCCTTATATAGTGATATTATTTGTGAATTATAGTTAATGGCTTTAGTATTTGTATGAAAAGTATTTGTGGTTCGTTTAGTTTTCATGCAATTCTAATTTATTTTCAATTGATTGTAATTGCACGATAACAATTTTTTTTATTCTCGCGAGTGATGCAATTGTTTTTTGAATGTTTTGCTTAAAATTGCAATAATCACGATTGATTGTAGATTGACTTTTAATTATGACATATTTAATCGTATAATACTAATGCAATTGGTTGCTGATTCAGTTGTTTTAAGGTGCATGATTGTTAATTATTTCTTGAATAATCACATAGTATTGGAAACAAGTGTTGGTAATGCTCAATCCCACATAGTATTGGAAACACTATTGGGAATGGTATTTAAGGCTTGGCTTTCCCACTTCCTTGTTGAGTGATAGAGAACAAGGGGGACTCTCGCACACCGCCGCCGCCGTCGTCCGTCTCATCTCGTCTCGTGTCGTGGTCGTGATAATACGTGTCTTCGACTATCGCAACGAACTTGGACTATCGCAACGAATTTGGAATAAATCGCAACGCGAACTTCGACTATCGCAACGAACTTGGACTATCGCAACGCGAACTTGGACTATCGCAGCGAATTTGGAATAAATCGCAACGCGAACTTGGACTATCGCAACGAATTTGGAAAATCGCATTGCGATAGTCGATGTTCGCGTTGCGAATCTGGAAACTGATTTGCGATACCGGAGATCGCGTTGCGAATTATCGATCGCATTGCGATTTAGTTGGTCATTTTGGCAAATCCAAAAAAAGTTGGTTAAAATCGTATATTATAAGGCATTTTTTGTCACTGAGGTTATTTTCTCATTTTTAAATCAATGTAATCTTCTAACTCGGAAAAAACTTAAAGTGGTTCTTTGACCAACAATTCATTTAATTCATGTTGACATGGCATGTTAAGTATGCCAGCCCTCCGTTTAATGTTGTTATAAATTAGATAAATTATATCATTTATCATTCAATTATATTATTTCTTCTATTTTGGTCATTAAACTTTAAAAGTTTTCAATTTAATCACTCAACTTTTGAATTGCTCTTATTTTAATCACCATAACTTATTTTATTATTGTTTATGTATGATGTGGCATTTATTATTATTTTTTCAATATATGATTAAAATAATATTAATTAAATTAATTACCATAGAAATTTTGAATCGAATGGGGTTTGAACTTTTCATAGAAAAATTCATCTTGTTCTTCATCATTCTGGGGAAAACCTAGTTCCTGGCCAAGCTCCATCGTGTCGACCGTCATTGATCGATGCCTGCCATCGCTCACAGACAACAGAGAATAGAAAGTTTGGCTTTTTCTGTTTAGTTTTTTTAACCCCAAACTCAAATCTAAACTTAGTTTCCCCAAAAAGGACTCTGATCGATGTAGATCTAAAATAGAAATTGAAGAAAAAATAACAAAAATATACCTTTAGAGTTTTGATATCTTTGAATTGAGAGATGTTAAAAGCTTCAAAGAAAACTATTAGAAAAACCTTCTCCCCTTTCTATTTCCTCTTTCTTTTTCTTTTGCTTTTTCTTTCGTTTTTCTTTTTTTTTTCTTGATTTCTCTCTTTTTCTTTCTTAAAAATTGATGCCTATGATTTGTTTGATTGACAATGTGCTTTCTCGCTCTTTCGGGTTTTCCTGTACCAACTCGATCTGTTCCAAAGTGTTTACAACTTCTCTCATCGATGGTCGATGCTTCGGTTCGGATTCAAGATATTTTAAAGCAAGTTGAGCTACTCGAACTGCTTCTTTAAAAGGATGAAGTGTGGGAAATTTTGGGAAACAAATAGAGAAGAAGCAATGGAGAGAGCCATAAGAGTTGAACAATTAAAAAAAAGGCCATGTCATGATGTTTAAAATATAATTTTGAAATTTTAATTTAATTGTAATTTTGGGAATATTTTTTTATTTAAATATAATTTTAAAATTTTAACTTAATTAATATTATTTTAATCGTATATTAATAAAATAAAAATAATAATGCCACATCATACATAAATATTAATAAAATAAGTCATGATGACTAGAATAAGAATAATCCAAAAGTTGAGTAATTAAATTAAAAAAATTAAAGTTTAATGATTAAAACGAGAGAAAGAAAATAATTAAATGATGAATGATGTAATTTTTCATTTATAATAGCATCAAACATATGTTCAAATGTCATATTGAATTATTTTTTGAGTTAGATAACTACATTAAGAGAAAAAAATAAAACAAGCGCTATATTAACTTGCCACGTCAATAGAATTAATAGAATCATTGATCAATAAAAAAATATTAGTTAAAGGATTACACTAATTTTTTTTAATTGAAAGACCACAATGATCGACTACATTGATTTTTTTCGAAAAGTTCAGTAGCATCGCGTGAATGTTTGCCAAAAAAAAATAATCTGAGATGCAACTTTTGGTTGATTTTGCCATGTGAACACTATGGTAAAACGGAACCATCAAAGATTACAAGCTTGAATACGTGTCAATCACAGACCTCGAAATTCCCAAAAGAATGACATTACTAAGGTGTCTTTATAATATCCTCTTCACATCTGACCCACATGAGAAGAAAGATGCGTGGATAACAATGAAAAACCCAAAGTGATGGCGTTTACTTTTTCTTAAAAGGTAAGGAAGTTTTCCAAAGCCACCGAGCCCCGATCGTCGCCACTCCCCATCTCAGGTTCTCTCCCTCTCTAATTTCTATAATTTTATTTCTTTTTTGTGTCAAATTATTAGCTGATTTTTAATTTTATTTTCCAGATTTTCAGTTGATTTTTAAAGAGAACTTATATTTAGAAAAATAAAATTAAAAAGGATGAGTGAAGTTTTCGAAGGGTATGAACGGCAGTATTGCGAGCTGTCGGCGAATCTTACCAAGAAGTGCTCGGCTGCTGCTGCTCTGAGTGGAGGTTTCAGTTTTTCCCTTTATTTTATTGCTGATGAAAATTTACAATTTGATTTAATTTTTGAAAATAAAAAAAGTAGTAGCTTAATTAGGAGATATGAAGAAGAAAACAAGATATGATCTACTTTATTTAGTTTTACTTATTTTTAGAATTTTATATGGCATTGATATAGATTTGGGGAAAACTTAAACTTTTGCCGGTTAATTTCAAGACTTTGAGCTGAAAAATTCTACTAAAGAATTTGAAATGCCTTGAATTTAGGTGATAAATTAAAATTTAGAAGGTAATTCTGAAGTATAAAGTGGAATTCATGTTGTGATAGTGATAGAGGGGATGCTCCTTCATCATATAGGGATTAGTTTGCAGTTATTTAACTGCATAGCAGTATATTTTAGTTTGCAATGATTAACCATTAAGAAAGTTCTGAGTGTGTACGCTGCATGTATCATGATTCTCTGCTAAAGAAAAAAAAGAAAAAGGAAAAAACTAGCTGTTAATCAGACCTGGATGTGAGTGTCAAATATATGTGTGTTCGAGATGTGTATGTTAAAACTTTTTTAACGTTTTCCTATGAATTTGGAGGGTCACACCAAATATATTTTGTATAAAGATAATGTAAGAATTAAATTAAGCAATTTCTGGCCTTGTAATAATTGCATTGAGCTGATATGACTTAGAGTCTACCATTTAAGGGATAACAAAGATTCAATGTATGTCTACATTGAACAAAGATTTTATTCTACTCTATTTTAAGGAAAAAAACTGTATGAGGTTACCTTTGCTTCTACTGTAACTCGAGCATGTTCGATATATGAATCCAAATTTTATGTGTTTCCTTTTGTTGAATAATGCACTTCATTTTGTAATTCATCAAAAGGTTTTCGATGAGAAATTTTTCAATTTGTTTTGCGCATCAGCATTTATAATTAGCCAATTGTTCTTGTTCCAATTCTTAATTGATTTTCTTATTTGCAGAGCAGAAGAAACAAAAGCTATCTGAAGTAAAAGCTGGACTAGAAGATGCAGAAGCCATGGTACCTGGTTCATTACATGTTTCAGATACCTCATTTTTTTTCTTTCGTTTTTTGAGTATTGAACTTGATGTTGCTTGTTTTGTTTCCCAGATTCGGAAAATGGACCTTGAGGCAAGAAGTTTGCAGCCAAATGTTAAGGCTATGCTTCTTGCTAAGCTACGGGAATATAAATCAGATCTTAACAATCTCAAAAGCGAAGTCAAAAGAATTGCATCTGGAAATTTAAATCCATCTGCTCGAGATGAGCTGTTAGAGTCTGGAATGGCTGATGCCCTCTCGGTATATTTTGGTTCTTTTGTCTAAACTTTAATGTGCTGTGGTTCTATTGCTGTTCTGTTCTTTATATTTAACTTTTGATTTTTAAGTGGTTAACATGAAATAGGCATCAGCTAATCAAAGATCAAGATTGATGACGACTACGGAGCGGTTGAATCAAAGCAGTGATCGAGTTAAGGACAGCAGAAGAACCATGCTAGAAACAGAAGAGCTTGGTGTTTCGATTCTTCAGGATTTGCATTCACAACGGCAATCTCTCTTACATGCCAACAACACGGTATCTCTTTATGGCATATGATCTCTAATTCTCTTCAATAACTAGTATGCTCTTTTAAGTTTTATTTTCTTGTATTTGAGTTGCAGTTTCCTTCAAACTTTAATTAACAACTCATTAGTATGATGTTAGTATTCATCCGAAAAAAGTAACACTCCGCCAATCTGTAGCAATCAAGCATTATTCATTTTGTTCTCCCTGTTTCGAGCTGACTATTGCATGAGCTCTCTATGTTGAAGTCTTATTTGATAGTAAGACTTCAAATTTCCTCCCACAAAACGGTTAACCTTTTTGTTGGTCAAAATACTAGGCAGTCCTTGGTACTACAGTAAAAAATGCGATTTAATCCCTTTACTATGGACCGGAGTAATTTAATGTTTCTCTGTTTGATATTGGTGCAAACAAGTGGGATTGAGAACATTCTTAATGGAAAGCCATTTAAATGAAAATGTAGATTTTTGAAATCTTACAATACAGACTTGTAGCTGAAACATATGCTTTGTCAGTTTTCTGAAGTCTGTCAGCATTTAGACGGTTTTCTGCTATTATCAATTTTGCTGGTTTGCACCATTATCTAGTCTATAGGAATTAAAATGAACTTTTGACTATAGTACATGGACTGTGTCTATATTTTAATCCCATTTTTATAGCTCGAGCAGGCTTTTTCAAAGTTCATCTGACCATAAACTTCCTTTGTCAGCTGTAGTGGCTGATTGTGATCCTTTCCGTTGCATGAGCTTGCAACGTCTAATTAAGCCTTAAATTTTGTCTCGTTAAGATGTAATGGTTGATCCTTTGAAGACGGGTTTGTGTTTTGGTTACACAGCTTCATGGAGTGGATGACAACATTGGCAAGAGCAAGAGAATTCTGACAAATATGTCGAGGAGGATGAGTCGGAACAAGTGGATCATAGGTATCATTATGTCCCTCCTCATCGTTGCTATCATCCTTGTTTTGTACTTCAAACTTTTTTAATAGTCGCCATTTGTTTATCTTCTAAATCCTGGTTTTTTGGGTGTTTTTCTTTTTGGGGGAAATAATTTTTATTTTGTTTCGCATTTTGAGTGCCGATATGAAATGCGTGCTTCTTAAACCCAAAGACTGTATTATTCATCATTTCAATTCTATTTGATAACATTTAAGATCGTCGTTTGAGCCTTAGAAAAGTGAACAAGAGCTACAAAATTCCCATATTAATAAAGTCTATTTTCATATAATCTTGGAAACGAAGAGGTGAACTAGAGGAGCTTCTTCCTCTCAAAAAAAGTCTTCAGATGCCATATCTGCAAACCAGCCACAGACAAGCAAAGAAGCAGCGAAAATAGTCCAAGAGTAGCCATTTTGGAATTTGTTTCCTTTTAGTTGTTGCATTTCTTCCTCCCTGTAATAACATAATATCGGATAAGAAAACATGGATTCCACCCAATGATCATAGCTTAACAGAGGATTTTTCTTACCTCTCGCGAAGGTAAAACATCTCTTCATGAATGACAGTGACAGTGTCATACAATTTCTTCAACTCAACTTCCATTGTCTAGCATAAAATGAGAGCAATATTTCAAGTCATTATATTGTGTCTAACCCATAAAAAACGATACATAAACAAGGACATGATGTTTGAAGAATTATTGCAACTGAAAACCTATGGTAGAGGGTAGGAAGATGATGTTTGTGAGGCTCTGCGCACTATGCTTCAAATTCAATGGTGGAAGAGAATTGAATAGCACTTATTAATACCTGAACTGAAGTAATTCCTACAAGTTGATTATGCAAGGGAGTTGTATGATAAGCACCACTCGTTGAGACAGTAGGTGGGGAGAATAATTTTGAAATTTGGCAATCTTTCGATTCGAGTAAGAGCAAATAATGTCTACAAGGGTTAGGGTGCACAACAATGTGCTTTTATTATTGAAATGCAACCACAAATTAAAGAATTAGAGTGTAAGGGTCGTCTTTTTACTTCATAGTTTTGAAAGATATATTAGAGTTTTTATACTAATGAAAATTAAATCTCACTCATGATGAGTTTCGAACGCATATCCTAGAAATTACAAGATATTTTTGTGTGATATGTCAAAAATAGGATTTCTGTAACCCTATGTTTTCTTGAGTTCTAACTTTTCACAACCTAATTCTTTCTACTGATGTCATTTTTTCTTCTATTTCACATCAAGCAATCGAAGTTCAACAAATGTTTTCTATCATCTACGGATATACCCCTATGTTCCCCCCCCCTTAAATAGCCCATGCACAACATCTATGATGACGTATTCTAAACGAAATACAAATCTCAAAACATATGAAGAAAAACCTAAAAATAGATTCATTTCCCATATTAAAAGTATAATGAGAAAGGTAATGGGAAGATAACACATACTTCAACCTGGCCTTTCTTAGCAACATTGGACCAATCTTTAGCGGCAACACCACTTTTCCAATCGAAATCAATGGTCATTCTCACAGGAGGGTTGTGCCTATTTGCCCAAAAACAAGTGGTGTAATCCCCACCCTCTGCTGCTGTAAATGCAAATGTACCCGAATCCACTTGATCCCCTAGGTGATAACTGTTCCCCTTGGGTGAACTCACCTATCAAATTATCATATTCCAAACAACACATCAAAAAACTATCTCAAACGGATCCTGGAATTGTAAATGAATCTTACAGTATTTGATTTGGATTATTCGATCAATAGATCGGATACCAGTGTAGTTAAAAAATAACCTCAAAATCAAACACTCAAAAGAAAAAGGAAAAAGGAAAATGGTTGAGAAGATACCCTGACAACAAGTTTATGAGAAATAGGCAAAGGGCCATCTTCATTAGGGTTGATAACGGTGTATTTGCCAACAGTCATTGCATTTGCCTTGATGTCTTCTGCAATGCACTTGGTTTTCCCAGATTCCAACTCAAACCTCATCGATTCCCCTAACATTAATCCTAACATTATCACACATAAACCCAGTTTTATTCCCCACATTCTGTCTTACAATATAAAACTATATTCCCAATTCCCTTTTTCTTTATTTTGTTTTATTGGAAGAGATCTGTTTTGGGGGCTGAATCATAGGATGGAGTCCTTTAACTGATATAAACTTAGTAATTTTGTCTAATTTTAAATGTCCACCACATCATTATTACGACTTTTTCAATGAAATATCACCATTTCTTTATATTTACATTGACGTCTTTGTTGATAAAAATAAGGCGAGGACAATAAAGGATATACCTTTAACATTGAGGTGAATATGATAAACTCATCTCCAACTCTAAAACAACAGCAGCAGCAACAAAACCAAGGCTTTGAAATACAAACTCAATCTTCACATATGTATATATGGGTAGGATCCAATTATATAGTGTAAAATTTTCTAGTTTTACACATTTTTAGTACAATTAGATGAGTGGACATAAACGATTGAGATTAATGATAAGAAATAGGAATATATATATATGATATATCAGAAAGGCCTGTATCTCAAAGCCCTGTTTCTCGCTGGTGATGTATATTATTTGGTAAGGAAGCTTGGTGATGAAGAGTGTTTATGTTGAAGCATTTATAAAGATGGGAAAATGGCGATGGATGGATTGGGGACCATATATATATTACAACATGATGAGTAATTATTACTTTCAGAAACTCTTATCACTTTATTCCGAGATGCAATTTTGATAGTTTTGATCTTGACTTTTTAGATTAATTTTAAAATTATATTCGTACCGAAATAATTCGGTTTTTCCAACAATTTAAATCCTAATTAAATTGATATAATTAATATTTAAAAAAAGAAGGTTGGGATTTAAATAACAAAATCAAAGTAGAATTCCGTTAATATCTTTCTTAGTAAGATTAACTCAACAATCATGAACATTTCATCAACTCATAGCCCATCAGTTTCTTCCTTACTTGAAGTAATAATTCTTTATAAAAGCAACCCAATTAGACATTTTCACCTTGCTTTCAAACTTTCATATAGCTTATATAATTATGGGGTGAACAAACTGGAAAAATAGGGGGAAAAGTATTTTTTTTCTTTTGGAAATAAATCATTCAAAATATCTAATACAATAAGTTTTATCTTAATCAATTGTTTATGTAATTTAATGTCGAACACAATAAGTTGTATGATTGTCTATGTGAAGTCTTTTGTATACTTTGATAAATTATCATCTTTTTAAACTTTAGAAGGTGAAGACACCAAATTTCAACCATTAGTCCGATAAAATACCATTACAAGACCAAAGTGGCCCAACGGTGCTATATTGCTAAACCAGTGGCCCGAGAAGGAACAAACAGACCCAAACAAGAACCGATTCAGCTAGGGTTTTGGGAACCCTAACTTCCCACAGCGCCGCAGCTTCTTCAACACAGCTTCATCAGCAGCCCGAAACTGCCGCCGGTTCCCTCGCCCTACGCAACCAGCTTCCTCACGTTTCAACAGACGTGACTCAAAAGGATTCACTCACAACCAACCAAATAGTGATTTAGTTCAAGTAAAATGCTAGAAAATCGGAACTAGGGCTAGTATTTTTAGACTATAAATAAGCTTGTAATCAACCCATTAGAACGGACGGTTTTTGGTACACAATATTTACCGGAGATATTGCACGTGAAATACTCGAAATACGCAAGATCCAAGCATTTGTAAGCATTTCGAAAAGGAAATAAAAAGGTAGTGTTTGTTTTTACCTTCGTTCTCTCGTTTACTCGTTGTTGCATGCTGAATGTTGCTTGAGATTTGGCCTCGAAACCATAGGAAGAAACGTTTTGGCCGATGAACGAAGTGAGGCATTTATTTTTCGAAAATCTATTTCCTAGACCTGTGTTTTTTTCGAGTTGATTTTTGAAAAACCGCTTGGATTTTGAACTGTGAGAGAAGGATGCTCTTTAAAGATGTGGGTTTCGTGGTGGATCATCGCCGATGAGCGGCGACGAGGCGGTGGCCACCATTTTCAGGCGGCAGCGCACGCCCTTGTTCTTCATGTCTAAAAACAAGGCAGAGGAAGAATGAAATGGGAGAGAGCCTTTGGTTTCAAATGAGGCTGAAATGAATTTTAAAACGTTTTGTTGGCTTAAATATTGAACCCATCAGGAGATCCGTGCGCAACCCGACCCATCATGAGGGGATCCGCGTGTTTCTGTTGTTATAAAGGGTAAATCGTGCTTTTGACCCTCCTATTTTGAAAGTTTCAATTTTAACCCCCAAATCCGGTTTTTAAACTCAATTTTTTTTAAATTTGACCTTCAATCGTGGTTTTCTTTTGATTTAGTCCTGTTACTATTATTTTGCCTTTTTGTTAATTTTATTATAACTGTTTTTTATTATTATTACTTTATATATACATGTATTTCTTATTTTTTTTCCTTATTTCATGACTTTTTATTTTTTATTTTTGTTTACAAATTATCATATGTATTTATATATATATAAACGTTTCATCCCTTAGTTTTATTAGTTTTTTTTATAAATATTTTAATTATATATATGTACATATATTTTCTATTGTTTTCTTTAACGTTATATGTGTACGTATCTTATCATTTTTTTTTGTTTTGCATTAAAAACTATCGTATTATTATTATAGATATATGTACTATTATTTTCTTTTACATTTATTTCTATTTTCTTTATTTCTTTTTTAATTCATTCTTGTATTCATCTATTTGTTTACTATACGTACATCATTATTATTATTTTCTTTATGTTGTTCATTTCCTTTATGTTTGTCATTGTTTTATTTTATTTCCATCTATTCTATTGTAGGTGTCCTATTTACTTATTTTATCCTTACCTTATCTCAGTTTTGATTTCCTTTATTTCATTTTCCTTATTTTCAATACCTTTTTAACATGTTTCTTGACTTTTTAAGGATATTTTCAAATCAATCTAAGGTAAGTAATTTTGGATCATATGTTACCTTTTAATTTAACTTACGACTTTCTTAATTAAAGACAACTGGAAATTGTGTAGTACCGAAAGGGCAGTTCAAGGGTGCTTCCTTGACTGTAACCGACTCCCGAATCTGACACATCACTGGTAAAATGTAGACCATGTAAGAAATAAGGTATCCGGTCAACCAATTTACTTTTAAATAAATGATCGGTGGCGACTCCAACTCATTTTTCCTAAGTCGAAGCCCAATTCC